AGTTCAACTTCCTCATTTTATAGCTGAAGCTGTCACAGTTGGCCGCCTGGCCGTCCATCCGTCTGGCCATCCATCCAGCAAATGCTCCCGTGCCAGCTCTCTAAGCTGAGGGTGCCTCCGGCTGTACCTGGCAGTGGTTCCACTCCTGTGGCTCCGCAGACACGGAAAGGAATATTTTTGTCAGGACGCGGACACCGTGATGCTGGAAAGCTCCTCACTAACGAAGAGGTGCCCCGAGGAGGGCTGGCGACGCCACCCTGCGGGGTGGGATGGTCAGGAGAGGCCATGATGCAGTACTGGCAGGGCACTTGCTGTGGTGTTAGGAACCTCTTTTTAACGAGCTGCATCTTGAAGGACTTCTGCTGAATGAGAATGAAATTCTGGCTATTTAGCATCATTACTAAGGTGCCCTGACTGTCAGGGTAGAAGTGTTGAGGGAGTAGGGATGCCTTGATAATGGACTCGGGCTTGTTCATGTAGCAGCTGAGTCTTCCCACTCCTTTAATCTGTCCGTTATCAGCATTTACTGGCTAAGAGAGCATCTTTCTTTTGACACACATTTGACCAGAAGAGCTGAGATGTCAGAGCTGAGGGGACCAGACCTGTCATCCACCTCAGAGGTGATGTTAGTATGCAGGCTGCTTTACAGATGGGTTAGTGTCACTCATTTCTCATGCCATCGGAGGTCTGCACCACAGTTCCCCCTCCGTTACTTGAGTGACTTTAAATGCATACCTCCTTTATCCCTAAGTGATATCAGGGAAAGAGATAGTAGATGCTTGTGTGTTTTCTTTCAGCCTGATACCTTCTTGGCTTGCAGAAAAAAACAACATCAACCAAACTCATGCTGTCGAGTCAGATCTGCAGGTCCATTTTAAATAACGCTGTTGAGTGAGCACCGGTATAGAGCACCTACTCTGTGCGAGGATTATGCCTGCTTTTGTTACACCCATTCCTTCTCCAGTTGACAGTTGTTATCAGCGTTCTTGTGCTGTGCTATGGAAGGGGCCTCTCAGGTGGACATGCTGGTTCCAGAGCATGCTCCATGTTTCTCAGCAATGCGTTTTGGTCCTTTGAGGGCCCTGGGACTGCCATGTGTGCAGACTGCAACAATGCACTCACTGTTGAAGGAGGGAGGTGTGAAAAGAGGATAGTAGGACAGTGAGGTGCTGCAGGAGACTCAGTGAAACAGTGCTTGCTGTGTTAATTATTCTTCTAAACGTCCCGGGCCCCTCACCCTTCATGTACAGCTGGTTTACTTCGGAAAGAGCCATCGTAACACAGTCAGATGTTTTCTCCCCTCTACCATCTTGGAGAAGGATATCACACTCCTTCTCCAAGGTTAAGTAGAGGGTCAGCACAAAAGAGGAAGTCCCTTAACAAGGTGGAATAACACAGTGGCTGCAACAATGGGCTCAAACACGCCAATACTTGCAAGGAGGGCACAGGGTGGAGCATATTTTGTTCTGTTGTCTGTGAGTCGGAACCGATTCGATGTCTCCTAACAACAGCAGCATCTTCCTTATTGCAGAAATCCATGAAGTTAACATCTAAAGGGAGACCAGACATTGCTGTGCTCTGTGACATCAGCACCCACCAGAAGTGGTGTTGATCAGACCGACGGGAGCAGGGACAGAGGGTTGGGGGTGGCTCATCCCTGCCACACAAGGGACCTTGGAGAACTTGGCCTGAGAAACCTTGGAGAATTTGGCCTGAGAGCATTTGTTCTGTTAAGTCACTGATTTACCGCCACCAAGGAGGGGGCTGTTGTGAATTCAGATTTTGAGCCCCAGCCGTGTAGATGATCCGTTTCTACTTTTTGTTGATTATAGTGTGTGGGGGCCCCACCCAGCTTGGATCTCAGATTTGGGGTGAGGATCCTTGTACCTCTACCCCACATGGCCTTGTGTCTGTTCTGCATAATCAGATTTTATAGGTGGTGCGTTTTTGACCATTGCAATCTCGCCCCAGGGAAGTGGCCACCCGCCAGAAGTCCTAGCAGCATTCCTTCCCTCTAGTGCTTAAATCATCCCTTAGGCGCCAGGATGAAGACTCGGTGCCAGGGTGCCAACGCCACAGGTCAAGACCTCACAAGCCTTGTGCTCGGGGCTGATCTTGTATCGCTTGCAGCCTTGCGGGTAGCTTCGCCCTGTCAGAGAAACCGAATGACAGTCCTCATTCTGTAAGGTAAATCCTACTTTCTGACATCTTAGGGAAGATTAAAAATCGTGGTTAATAGTATTTTAGCACGTATCTGTTGATTTCTTTTATGTGAAAAAGAAGAGGCATACCAGAGGATCTGTTCAGCTGTAGTTGACACTGTCTGAAAGAGCTATTACAGTAAAAAAAACCCAAAAAACCAAAACCAAACGCACTGCCACTGAGTCGATTCAACTCACAGCAACCCTTTCTTGGGTTTCTGAGGCGGTATCACTACAGAAGTAGGCTGCCCAACCTTCCAAGGAGTGGCTGGTGGATTTGAACCACCAGCCTTCTGGTTAGCAGTCAAGTGCCTTAGGCACTATGCCACCAGAGCTCCCCTGCATCAATGCTTAGCTAATTTATCTGGTGGGCTGTTGTGTTACACACAGATGACAGGAGGAGAGACACTGGACCACATGAGGAAGTTTCTCCTTTAGGTCAGCTCTGCGAATGGCTTTGTTTAGTGACAGAGATCATTACTTTGTGCTCTGAATGGTTTCTTTCCAGTGGCCATGGATGTGGATGGGCTCTTTCTAAGCAGGAGCCTTTAAAATGAAGGGTTACTGAGATTGTGTGAGCTTGTCTTCCGCCCTGGGAGGTTGGTGATGACCAGGAATCACACAGTCTCTGGGGAACAAACAAAATAGGTATGTTAACTGGCGTTCTGCAGCCAAAGCCTGAATGGCTACCCACGCTGCCCTCTCACTGCTGATGCCACTGGATTCAGAGGGGAAATGCGGTCCACTTCTCCCCTCCATCTGCCTCCCATACCTCCCCCTTGCCTTCCTATCTCTCTGGTATACAAGATGACCGACGGTGGTTTTGCCCTTTCTACTGTCTTGGCATCATGTAACCCAAACCAGCAGTAGGCACTGAGTGGCCTCTGACTCATGGAGGCCCCATGTGTGTCAGCAGAACTGGGCTTAACGGGTTACAGGGGCTGACTTTTTAGAAGCGGATCGCCAGATCTTTCTTGTAGGCCCCTCTGAGTGGACTTGAACCGCCAACCTTCTGGTCAGCAGCAAGCTCATGAACCATCTGCTCCACCCAGGGACTCCTGGTGTCAAGTAGACACCACCTACCCCACCTCCTCATGACTGAGGTATAAAGAAGATGCAGTGTACCTTAGTTTAGACATCCCAGCTCCACCTTTACAGCAGGTTCCAAGAGTGAGAGTGAGGCACATAGGAGAAGGTGTTTTGGATGTAATTACTCCTATTCCTAATTGCACCCTGAAGGTCTGGCCGTTAGGGGTATGTGGTCCGCTCCCAGAAGTGTGAGAGGCCAGCAGAGAGTAGAGCAGGAGCCTTCTGAATCCGTCAGAGACAAAGCCTCTCTCTGGTTTGTGGAGTGTGTGCGCTGTTGACCTGCAGTAGGAATAAGCACCGTTATGAACCGGTCTTCTAGAATGTTCAGTGTGACCTGTTGGTGGACGCTTTGGGGAGTACAGGAATGTAGAGGGCTGTTTTGCTGAAATCGAATTGTGAAGAGTTCAGTTGCTGTACGGTTTGAGCAGAAGGCCTAGAGCGTCATATAGGGTCGGTATGACTTTGGTCCAGGCTAGCTGGCCTGGACTCCAGTCTTGAGTCTAAGTCATTCATGGAGATCGTCACAGTGACTGAAAGTATAGATTGCCACCCCCGGGAAAAGCTGGTTCTTACTAGCTGTGGAAATAGGGATGAAGACCGTGGGTTCTGGAGTCGAGCTACCTTGGTTCAAATCCTGGCTGCCTCTCTTTGAAGCTGCAAGGCTTTGGGGCAGGTTACTTAACTTCCCTTTGCCTCAGTTGCCTATCTGTAAAGTAGGGTTTATAATGGTGCTTTTCTCCCTGGGCGGTGGTGACACACGTGAATGGTCTTAGAGCAGTGCTTGACAGACCAGAAGCACGCAGTTCGTGGTGGTCATCAGCCGTTCTTAGCAGGCCTACGGAGTCTGCAGCAGGGTTCCAGAATGACGTGGGGCCTTTATTCATACCAAATGTCCTTCACTTGGTGATTTAGAAACTTCACTCTTTTGTTGTGTTCAAAATATCACTTGTATTTATGGCCTTGTGTTATTCAGAGCATAGACATTGCGTAACACGCCTTTGGTAGCCTCCTGTGAAGCTAATCAGCTTAGGCACGGCAGCAGATCATGGCATTCACACTCGGCCGTTGGAGGGAAACATACGTCGGGTACGTTTTTCCTTTAAAAAATTACAATATATTTAGTGATAGGATTTTCAGTTTGTTACATAAGGTGTTGGGACATTCATGATGCACCCTTTGGATTATTTTATCATAAGAGGATGATAATTTATACTCTTGATACTATTTAAAGTAAAGCACCCGTGGGTAAGTGGATGTGGCTTTTAAAAAGGGCTTGTTTTACTGGTGTGTAGATGTGGTCATTTAATAGGGTTGGCTGTGGAAAAATGATATGTTTTGAAGGATGCAGCCACGGCCGTTGTATGTTGTGACCATGTGTATAAAATAGCATTGTCAAGCCTGGTTTCATGTGAAGTTATTTGCTGGCACCGAGAACAAGACGGAGAAGAAAGGCTCAAACACTTTCCCCTGCTTCATCGACATAAACCAACAAACAGTCCATCTCCAGGGACCTTTTGCCAGGCCAGCTGGATTAGACTTTTGAAAATATTTCCCTAATGTAAACATTATCCAGTGGCCTTTCATTTAGACGGCACTTCCAAACACCAGAGCTTTCACATATGAAGCTAAGTAATCTTAACCTGTTTGGAGTTTAATCATGGATGAAGCTAGCCGTTTTTATGTACGTTTCGGTGTTATTTTCCGACACAGGAGCACCATACTGGACCAACACGGAGAAGATGGAGAAACGGCTGCACGCTGTCCCTGCGGCCAATACAGTCAAGTTCCGCTGCCCAGCGGGGGGGAACCCAACACCGACCATGAGGTGGCTGAAAAATGGAAAGGAGTTTAAGCAGGAGCATCGCATTGGCGGCTATAAGGTAGAATCCAGCTTTTAAGTGATTTCTTCCGTTTTCAGGCGCTCCAAAGTTTGCAGGAACTGGAAGGAATATAGTTTTCAAAAAGTCAGTTATTGTGATGGGTCGTTTTCAGTGCTTACTGGTTTTGTAAATTACCCTGGACTTGCCTGTCAGATTGAAGTACCATCCTCGTTTGTGGTGTTCGTTACGTGGGGAGCGTTTAATAACATGGGAGTTGGAAGTTGAGAGACTGCTTTCTGTATGCTTTATAGTCTATAAAACGAAAAACTGGAGCGGAATCAAAGACGAGTAAGCACGGTTGCCCTGTTTGACCAGCGACAATAGTTAGTGGGCTTGAATTGATAGCATTAAATTGCACACAGAAAAATGTTGGCGCGGGTGAACGTGTTATGCATGTATTTACAACAGTGGGAAAAACAGAACAGTCCGTGGGTGTGGATGAGAGGCTGGAGTTTGGAATATTTATTGTAAAGAGCCAGTGCTTCAGAGAGGAGCAAGGCCGTGCTCTGGTTCTCCAGCTTCAGGGGTTCAGAAGCACCCATCACAGAATGTCAGGTACTCAGCCTTATCCAGTGCTGCTGCTGTTAGGTGTCGGCGAGTCAGTTTTCACTCACGGCGACCCCATGGGACGGGTGAAGCTGCCCCACAGGGTTTTCTTGGTTGTGACCTCTTCAGAAGCACATTGGCAGCCCTTCTTTCATGGAGCTGCTGGGTGGGTTCAAACCATCAGCCTTTGGGGTATTTCACTGTGGTGCCCCCAGGGCTCCTCATTGCACCCTGGGGAGGTTGGAATGGACGGCCTCTTCTTGAAGGTGCCTGTGATGGAGTTCAAATGCTCGGTCAAGCTTGTTCATCTACTGGCAAGTGTTGCTTGAGCAGCTTTGTGGCAGAAACTGTCCTAGGTTCTGGGGAAAGGAGAGAGGACAGGGGGTTCTGGTCTGGCATAGTGGGCAGACTGGGGTGTGGGGGAAGCCAATAGACTGCTGAGTGTCACCCATGTGTGAGGAGAGGCGGAGCTGGCTTTTGGGAGATTGAGGGCAAAGAAGGCCAGGGAAGGAATCGGAGTTTGAAGGAAATCTCCAAATTATTTAGCATGGATGAGAGGACACTGGGAATTTAGTGTATGAGGAAGCCTTAGATAACTTCACATTTCACAGCTTTGGCGCCTTTGGACCGTGAATGGGTGTACTGGTTATTGATTGCTGTGTAACAGATTGCCTCAAAACATAGTGTTTTCAAGCAACATTTGTTATTTCACAGTTTCTATGGGTCAGGAACTCGGGTATGGTTTAGCAGGGTCTTCTGTCTCAGGAAAGGAGCTCTGG